CAGCCAAGGCTTTGCAAAGGGTGGCACAAGGACCATCCCTGGCAGCCACGAGGAGTTGATTGCCTCTCGCGTGGTGAAGAGATTAGAGCCATATTTCACCACCACCAGCAGCTCCTGGGACCTGCTGAAGGAGCTCATGAAGAATGTCAGGGAGGGGAGAATGTGTGTCCTACACCTGCCTAGCCCCAAGTCTTCCATGTTTCCAGAGTCCTGGCAGGAAGCCTGGCTTTTCTTGCCCAGAGAGGCAAGCAGAGGGAGAGCAGACCAAAAGCAGAAGCGCTTGCAGATGCGGCTGGGAGGCGCTGCGAACGTCAATCCGAGCCGCCTGGCTCAGAGTTTGGCTTTGCAAAATGGATCATGAAGTAGTGAAGCGCCGTAAAGGGATTTCAGACTTAGTTTGGAAAGGAAGGAAGATTCTGAGGACAGTTATTGCTGCTTGGAGGGGCTTTGGAGAAGTTTGTAAATACAGCTCCAGGAGGCTCCTCAAACTATCCTTAAAGTGAAGGAGGGAAAGCTCCAAAGAGCCGATTGTACGGAAGGAGGAAGACTCCAAAGCAAAGCTGCCCTGGACTTCTGATGGGAAGGTCCTCATGGGGAGAGCAGGAAAGATGTGTGGATTTAGCCTGATCCTGAAGTGAGCTTACTGCTGCAGGATCCTTTCCTGGATTCTCATCCTGATGCTGTATGTGCTCCTGAACATTGAGCTGGCAGGTTTTAGCATTCGGAGAGGCTTGTGCTGTTTGGCAAAATGTGACCACCTCTTCCTGCATTTCTGCCTCCATGCTCTCTCTTTCCTGGCCCATCTTTGCTTTGTTCCTCACATCCTTGCCTACCTCCCAGCCCTTCATGCTCAGCACTTTCCCCCTTCTGCCTTTTTTCCCTAGGCAACAAGCTGTGGGTGCTCCCAGGAGCAGCCAGCCCCAGCGATGGCTGTCGGGGCTCCCTGTCCGCCGAGAGGCTTCAGCCCAGGCCTTGGCTCCACGCGCAGTCTGACTCCCCACAGATGTGAGGCCTAGCAAGAGACTTAGGAGCCCCAGAGAGACAAAAAGACCCCATGAAGTGGCACTAGGATGAGGGGAGGTGGGAGAATGTAGCGGAGGAAGCATGAGTGGCTCGGGAAGAAGGAAGCAGTGGCGAGGTGCTGTTTGCTTGGCCCACTTGCTGCTTCCTCTCTAAGAGGAGCACGCAGCCCGACTTCACCATCCGCCCAGGGGCTTGGATGCTATTAGGCCGTTCATTAGTCAAACCTCTGAGTGGCTCCCACCGCTGCTAAGTACCTATTAATACCTCTTGAGGGGAGAGGAGAACGCTGTAAAAGCACAGAAACGATCTGAGGGTCCTTGATCTCTTTCTGGGCTGAGAGGTCGTGGGCTGAGGTTGGAGGGGCAGCTGCGGGGAGGAGGGGGGCTGAGCTCCTGGGGCCACACCTTTGCAGATGGATGATGATGTGCCCGAGCCCACGGGCAGAACATCCCCTCGTCTGGACTGTTCCCTCGGTGGGGTTAGGCACACCGAGACACAGGCCTGCTTGGTGTGTGTTGCAGGTATTCCCACTCCGGGAAGAGCCGGCAAAACCTGCTGGGATGTCGCTCGTGGCTGCTGGGCTGTGGCAAAGCACCCCTGCTGCTGGCGGCTGCGGCTGCAGGGTCCATCTCCTCGCTCGCCTGTGCGTACGGTCAGCTGTTAAAGGACACTGACATCACTTAATTAATGGCTTAATTGAATCTCTCAAAGGGATCGAAATTGGCTGCCTGACTCTTGTCACTGAGACGTGCGCATAGGAAATAGTAAATCACCATTTCAGCCAATAAAGTTGCAGCTCTAGATAGGAGCCCCTCGGAGCAGGAGTTAGGAAAGCAATTCCTCTTTGCAGAATAATATGTGCTGTTGGAGATAAGTGTGGGGGGTGGTTTTTTCTCAAGCCACCAGGTATCATCCGTGTGCAACAGTGGTGCAACAGTTAGGCCAAGTCCTGAAGGTGATATTAAGGAGTAAACAGACCTGAGGTGATGTATTTTCTGTAACTCAGGACTCTGTGTTGTATTTCAGCCTCCAGGTGATAAGAGAAAGAAAATTTAAAAGGAAAGGGAAAAACCTAGAAAGGCCAAAGTTGAACTGGGTTGAAGAGCAGGGTATTGTGGTCAGTAGAAATATCTGAGCTGGTGTGCAGAAGAAAGGCTCATTTGAGGGTAGGGAAACAAAAGTGGGAAGGAGAGGAGGGGATATAGAGAAAAATGTCCCCCCCAAAAAGGGGGAAACCCCAAAAGGAAGGATCTGAACCTCACAGGAGTGCTAATGCTGTGGCCCTGCTTCTGATTACTGAAGTAATTGCTGCTCAGGAGGGATGTGAGCCAGTGCAAAACAATATTCCACCCAGGCACCAAGGAAAGCAATTAAACCTGGTAAATACCAGTAGCTGACTAAAGCCAGGTCTTTAATTAATAGTTTCATTTGAAAGGTAAGGAAATCATTAAGTGCTATTGGTGTCTGTTAATTTCCTGCAAGAGGAACAACAATAGAGAGTTTTAAGGCTCCTTTCTTGCAGCACAGTGTGTGTGTGGTGAGGAGAAGGGGTGGCCAAGCCCTTGCACGAGGGTGTAGAGTCCCCTTGGTGCAGCTGAGCTGGCCCATGTCACCGAGCTGCCGTGGAGCCCTTGGGTTTCTGAGCCCTTAGTAAGGCCTCAACTTTGGGGGTCCTTCATCAGGAGGAGAGAGAAAATGTCGCTTCAAGCTGTACAACTGAGGCGACATACTTGAAAGCACTGGGAGGGCATGGGGAGCTGGGGGCCTGGAAGACAAATAAATCCTGTGTAATATTGTACAGATCCAGGCACTGAACAGGGGGAAAATAACCATAACTTCCTTGGTCTGCTTAGAGTGCTACAGAGATTTCAGTTTGAGGGCGTAGTAGGGCTAGATGCTAGGGCTGGGCAGAGCAGGCAGGATATAAAAGTTTGTGCTGTTTGAACAGTGTCAGTGTAGTGGTAGATTTGTATGTTCATAAATGCTCCAAACACAAGACTGTTAGAGAGCAGCCTTAAAGAGCACAGCCTCGATTCCAAGCCTGGGTAAGACAAAGCTTTACTCTGGTTGCTTTCTGACTGCAGCCATGCCACCTCCTTTTGGAGGGACCACAGCTCTTTTCCCCACCTAATTCTGTTCTATCGTCTTTGTCGAACACAGGTATTTTTGTTGCACTGGTGCCACGAGCAGCTCGTGGCAGGGAAGGATTTGCTTTCTGCAGTGTGTGCCGTGCAGGACGTCCCCGAGGAGCTCGCTGGCGCTGCAGGGCCCTCTTCCTTTGGCCAGGCTGGTTGTGGTGCTCAGCACAGAAAGCAGCCAAGCCGTCCTGTAGGGCACATCAGTGTCCACATGTGGCTTTGTTCAACTACCTACCAAATACTGGAAGTAAATCTTTTGTGATTTATAGCTGGCATCTTATATCATATATAGTCTTGGCATCTTCTCTTTAAAAAGAGTAATATCAATTTGCTGGAAGCTCAGCCATGTCTCCTGAGCGAGGGGAAACTCTTCTGGTCCTTTAGGTGTTTATGACTGGGTGAATCTCTCTTTCTTTGCTGTCAAATCGGTAACAGTTCAAGGAACGTCCCTAGACAACCTACCCTCTAGTCAAATTCAGACACAGGGTTGGAGTAATGTGGGGGCTCATCTGAGCCTTATTTTATTCTCTTGTCACAAGTACCTCAGCAGGCTCCTCTAAGCAGACTCATTTCTTTCAAACCCTGCTCTGTGCCGTTCAGCCCCATGAAGGAGGTTCACTGCTTTGTTGCCATGGTACCCCCTCCTCTAAAGAGGAAGAGAATAGTTAATTATGCAATTTAAGATACTGAGGAGGAACCACAGAAAGAGAAATAATAGAAGGGGAGATGCTGGTTTTGCGATAAGACTGGTGGCTGCAGAAGACAGTCTGTTTACAGAGGTATTTGCCCAGCATAGGCTGTGTAGAGCCAAGGATTCTGGTGGCAGCGTGGGGCTGGAGAAGCTGCCCTTTGCTGGGCATCGTGTGCTCTGCTCCTGCCTCTAGTTAATGCTCCAGAGGGACCCAGACATATTTGGTTGGCAGGAATTCTCTCTGGATGCAGCTGGGACAGCAGCAGTATATTATAGAGCCATGACACAGCCTGTGCTGCCTGGGGATGTACAGAGGTACAGTTCAAGTCTTAAGTGTTTTAAATCTCTTTGGCAGTGTTTCTTTGTTCCGCAGGCCTGCTAACCCGCCGCCTACTTTCCCCAGGAGCCCCAGCAAATCCAGTTTGTGGTGCCCACGACAGCACCAAAGAGCTTACAAGCATCAGGTCTGGCAAGATCCCAGCCCCTGTAGAAGGTCTGGCCCTTTCTATCTGCCAGTAACAGCGCGAGGCCAGCTACAGCTTAGGCAGAGCAAAGCCCCACGCCAGATCTTCGGCAGTACCGAGTTTGGACTATAGTGCTCTGTGCTGTGCAAACACGGGCAGCGCTGCCCCTCGCACAGCGTGCTGAACTCTCCAAGCTAGATACAAGGGGGAGAGTTACCCTCAGGTCAAGCTTCCCAGTGTTTTCAGGGGGAGAAAGAGAGGACAAAGTGACCCTATATGGGGCTCTCTTTATAATAGATGACTGGAAAGGACTGACTGATTCTTTATACACTCCCAAAGCTCCCCTTGCACACCACAAGGGCAATAGTACTACTGAGGGCTAGACAAGAGCCACATACTGTGGTGAGAGGAAGAAAGCAGTTGAGAGGCAATAATAATCCAAAATAATTCTTTGCACACAGCAGGAACAGCTGTCAGAAGATCAACATTTTAATCAACAGATTTTGTACACAAGAGAATTCCCCTTAAGAAAGTAAATGTATCCCTGCTTCCACCACCAACCTAAGGTGTTCTCTTCAAGTTCCCTTCAGCAAACATTTGTGTGGAAGGTGGTTTTCCGAGATCTGCCACAAGAGCAGCCACGTTGCACCCGCTGATACTGCGGGCCGCTGTCTCCTGCTCGTGTCTCACATGCGCCTGGCTTTGCGGGGCCGGCAGCCGTTGTGGGGCACGGGCGTGTTGTCCGTGATGGAGATGACCTCCAAGCCGCCCATCGTCAGACCCTTGATGGCAGCCTGCAAGAGCGAGGTGGCAGATGAGCTCCTCTTAGCAGCACCCTGCAGCAGGGCTGAGGGAGAAGTAGCTCAGAACTTGCAACAAGTTGATTTTTGAAGTGACCAATGCTTCTACTTTGCCATTATCTTAAAAATAAATAATAATTATTAGGAAACCTAGTTCAAACCTTCCTTTCTTTGCAGTCCTTTCATCATATTTCCTATCAGTTATGCCACTTTAGTTGGAAGAAACCTACGTTTGTTTCTACTCTGTCCTCAGAGTTTCTTTATGAGGAGGAAGGAAGAGGCACTTAATAGCTACAATCATGAGTCCAGCCTGAATTAAAAACAAAAACAAAAAAAAGGAAAAGAAAAAATATGGAAATGGAGACACTTACTTTGCGCCCGGGTCCCAGTCCTTTCACCATGACACGTACATGTAACACACCTTTCCCACGTGCTTTCTGAGAAAAAAATGAAGAATTCATTAACTTTATTTCTGATATCTCTCCTACTGCTTTGGCTCCTCTGTAGTCTTTTAATCCCTTTTCAACTACAAGCATGGTATGCTTTATGTAAAAAATAAAAGGTAGGCACTAATGGATAGATACAGAAGACAAATGCTGGGATCACTGCATAAAGCAAGACATTAGTCAAAAAGAAAAAGGCAGATTTAAGAGAGCTTCCTTGTTAGGTTGCCAAAGCTGCAGCTGGAGAAAGCTTTAAATCGAACTTCCTGCAACCCACAGTCAGGACAGAACACGACATCTCTCTGATGTGTGACTAAACTGGGTAGGGACTAGCAAGGACTAATTCCATGCTGTTTTCCCTTGTCAAATGCAGTGATTTCCATCCTGTGATGAGTGGATTCCTTCTAGAAGGTAAATGAGAAAAGCAAGGAAGCTTTAGATTTGCTGTGCAGGAGTCCACACGTTCAGTACAAAAATTCTAGGGGCTTGGAAATTGAAGATCAAAAACACCTGCTGTAAAGTGTGGCAGTACTGCCACCAAGCGGAGCCCTTCTGGATTTCTCTCCTGTATTCTGGTGCATTTAAGCCACTTTAACGTAGAGGATCAAATCTGTCCAAGTGCACTCATACAGCTGCTAAGAGACTCCAGTGAGCAAAGATTAATAGCAGAAATATTCTTATATTCTGCTGAGCCAACTCCAGTAAGCTATTAGCCAGCAGTGGCACCAAGCACCTATGATCTGAAAGGTTAGAGCGAGTTCCACCTAATTTAGGTTAAGGATTTTCAGTTTCACCTTGCCTCGTTCTGCTATAATGAGGGCCGTGACACAGACCGCCTCATTTTCTCCTGCCATCTGGAAACCCACATGTTTTTCTAGAAATGATTACCATGCACTGCATGGATCTGGAAACTACACATGCAAGGACATCACCTTCTGTGATCGCAGCTGCTGGCAGCAGCTCCATTCTCCTGTGCCACAGGGCATATAGAAAACCTGCAGCCAGTAATTACAGCCACTTCTCTGGCCCTTACAGTGCAAAAACTGAACAACTGCAGACAAAGGGGCTACATTTCCACAATGACCCACAAGAGTCCACCTAGAAAAAAACACCTTTACAAACTGGAGCAGAAGAGGGGAAGTAACAACTTACACTTCCCAGTCTCAACTTGCACAGCTAAGCTCCCCACCTGGGCATTTCTAACTGCTCTCTGCCTGCATCCA